CACACTGTAGTGTTAAGTGCTGGTGTTCCCACATGTTAGTGATTACAGCTGCAGGATGTTCCACACTGTTAGTGTACAGTCTGCGTGTTCCACACTGAGTTACAGTGCTGGTTTATTTTACCCAAATGTAGTGTACATGTGTAGTCCCACACTGTAGTGTACAGCTTGCTGGTTTTCCCACACTTGCTAGTGTACAGCTTCTGGTTTCCCACGTTGTAGTGTAAAGGTGTATTGTTCCCACACAGTGTACAGCTGCTGGTCGTTCCCACGTTGTAGTGTACAGCTGCTGGTGTTCCATCACACTGTTAGTGTACAGCTGCTGGTGTTCCACACTGTATTAAGCTGCAGGTGTTCCACACTGTAGTGTACAGCGCTGCTGGTGTTCCAACACTGTAGTGTACAAGCTGCTGTGTTCCCACACTGTAGTGTACAGCTGCAGGTGTTCCCACACTGTAGTGTAAAAGCTGCAGGTGTAACCACACTGTATGTACAGCTCAGCTGGTGTTCAACACTGTAGTGTACAGTTGCAGGATGTTCCACACTGTAGCTTCAGCTGCAGGTGTTCCCACACTGTAGTGTAGTTGCAGGTGTTCCACACTGTAGTGTCAGTTGCAGGTGTCCCACACTGTAGTGTAGCTGCAGGTGTTCCCACACTGTAGTGTACAGCTGCAGGTGTTCAACACTGTAGTGTACAGCTGCAGGTGTTCCCCCACTGTAGTGTACAGCTGCAGGTGTTCCCCACTGTAGTGTACAGTGCTGGTGTTCCACTGTAGTGTACTGCTGTGTTGGTGTTCCAGACTGTAGTGTACAGTTTGTTGTGTTCCACACTGTAGTGTACAGCTGTTGTGTTCCCACGCTGTAGTGTAAGCTGAGGTGTTCCCAACTGTAGTGACAGCGTTGCGTGTTCCCACACTGTGGTACAGCTGCTGGTTTCACACACTGTAGTGATACAGCTGTGGTGTATTCCCACTGTAGTGTAAGCTGCAGGTGTTCCACACTGTAGTGTACAGTGAGGTGTTCACAACTGTAGTGCTACAAGTTGCGTGTTCCCACACTGTAGTGTACAGCTGCAGGTTTAGTCCACATGCGTGTACAGTGCGGTGCCGTTTCCCACACTGTAGTGTACACTGCCTGGTGTTCCCACACTGTAGTGTACAGGCTTGGTTCCCACACTGTAGTGTACAGACTGCAGGTGTTCCCACACTGTTGTGTACAGCTGCAGGATGTTCCACACTGTAGTGTACAGCTGTTAGTGGTCCCACACTGTAGTCTACAGATTGCTGGTGTTCCCACGCTGCTAGTGTACAGCTAGCCAGGTATCCCACACTGTAGTGTACAGCTGCATGATTCCACAATGTAGTGTACGAACTGAGGTTTCCCCTGTAGTGTACAGCTCAGTGTTCCCACACTGCTATGTACAGCTGCAGGTGTCCCACACTGTAGTGTACAGCTGCAGGATTCCCACACGTAGGTACAGCGAAGGTATTCCACACTGTAGTGTACAGCCTACAGGTGTTCCACACTGTGGTACAGCTGCAGGTATTCCCACACTGGTGAAGTGTACCTGTATTCCCAACTGTAGTGTACAGCTGTTGGTTGTCCACACTGTAGTGTCAGCTGCTGGTGTTCCACCACTGTAAGTACAGGCTGCGTGTCCCACATGTAGTGTACAGCTGTTGGTGTTCCAACATCTGAGTGTACTGTGTTGGTGTTCAAACTGTAGAGTGTACAGTGTGTGTTCCCACACTGATACTGTACAGTGTTGGTGTTCCCACACAGACTGTATAGATGTTGGTGTCCACACTGTAGTGTACAGCTGTTGAATTCCCAACTGTAGTGTACAGCTGTGGTGTTCCCACACTGTAGTGTACAGCTGCAGGTGTTCCAACACTGTAGTGTACAGATGCGGTGTTCCCACACTGTAGTGTACATCTGCTGGTGTTCCCACACTGTAGTGTACGCTGACTGGTGTTCCTACTTGTAGTGCACAGGTTGGAGTTCCACTCTGTAGTGTCAGTGTGGTGTTCCCACATGTAGGTACTCTCATGGTGTTCCCACACTGTAGTGTACAGCTGTTGGTTTCCCAACTGTAGTGTACAGTGCTGGTGTTTTCCCCCCTGTAGTAACAGCTCTGGGTTTCCCAACACTGTAGTTACGCTGTGGTGTTCCCACGTTATAGCGTAAGCTGCTGGTGTTTCCCCCCTGTTGTGTACAGCTGCAGGTGTTCCCACACTGTAGTGTCAGCTGTTGGTGTTCCAACACTGTGTGTACAGTGCTGGTGTTCCAAACTGTAGTGTACAGTCTGGGGTTTTCCCCCCTGTAGTTACGTGAGGTGTTCCCACACTGTAGTGTACAGTGTTGGTGTTCCCACACGTAGTGTACAGCTGTTGGGGTTTTCCCCCTTTTGTGACAGCTGCGGTGTTCCAACATGTAGTGTACAGCTGTGGTGTTCCAAAAATGTAGTGTACGCGCAGGTGTTTCCAACACTGTAGTATACAGTGCTGAGTTCCCACATGTGTGTACGCTGCTGGGTTCCCACACTGTAGTGACAGCTGTGGTGTTCCCAGTTGTACGTAACAGCTGTGGTGTTCCCCCCTGTATGTCAGCTGCTGGTGTTCCCATTTTTTAGGTACAGTGCTGGGGTTCCCCCCGTTTTTAGTGTACAGCTGCTGGTTTCCCCCACTGTATGTACAAAGCGCTGGTGTTTTCCACGTTTTAGCGTACAGCTGCTGTGTTCCCCCGTTGTAGGTACAGCTGCTTTTTCCAACACTGTATGTAAAGGGTGGGGTGTTCCAAAATGTATGTCAGCTGCAGGTGTTCCAAAATGTAGTGACAGCGCTGGTGTTCCAACACTGTGTTAAGCTGCAGGTGTTCCAGCATGTATGTACACTGTGGTGTTCCCACACTGTTTGTTGTACAGCTGCAGGTTTCCAACATGTGTGTAAGCTGCTGGTGTTCCAACACTGTGTGTACAGGTGGTGTTCCAGCCTTAGTGTACAGCTTGGTTTTCCCAAAAGTAGTGTCGCTGCAGGTGTTCCGCACTGAGTGTACAGCTGCAGGTGTTCCAACACTGTAGTGTACACTGCAGGGGTTCCCAAAACTGTAATGTACAGCTGCAGGTGTTCCAACACTGTGTTACAGCTGCTGGTGTTCCCAAAATGTAGTGTCACTGCTGGTGTTCCAACACTGTAGGTACGCTGCAGGTGTTCCCCACTGTAGTGTACAGCTGAAAGGGGTTCCAACACTTTCAAAGTACAGCTGCTGGTTTCCCACAATTTTATGTCAGCTGCCGGTGTTCCCCCACTGTATGTACACCTGGTGTCCAACACGTAATTACAGGTGAGGTGTTTCCACACTGTCGTGTACAGCTGCAGGTGTTCGCACACTGTGTGACAGCTGCGGGTTCCCCACTTGGTACAGCGAGGGTTCCCACACGTATTTTACGCTGCTGGGGTTCGCCACTGTAGTGTACAGTGCTGGGTTCCCCACTGTAGTGTACAGCTGCGGTGTTCCCACACGTAGTGTACAGCGCTGGTGTTCCACACTGTAGTGTACAGCTGCCCGGTGTTCGCACATGTAGTGTACAGCGCTGGGGTTCCCACCTGTAGTGTACAGCTGCAGGTTTTTCCCAAATGTAGTGTACAGCTGAAAAGGGGTTCGCACACTGTAGTGTACAGTGTGGGCTTCCGCACTGTGTGACAGCGCAGGTGTTCCCACACTGTAGTGTGTGCTGGGGTTCCACACTGTAGTGTACAGCGTGGTGTTCCAACACTGTAGTGTACACTGCATTTCCCCCACTGTAGTGTACAGCTGCTGGGTTTTTCCCCCCACTGGTGTACAGCTGTGGTTCCCCAAAACTGTAGTGTACAGCGCAGGGGTTCCCCACTGTAGGTCCCCGTGGGGGTTCCCCCACTTTTAGTGAACATGCTGGTGTTCCCAAACTGTAGTGTACACTGCGGTGTTCCCACACTGAGTGTACAGCTGCGGTGTTCCCACACTTAGTGTACAGCGCTGGGTTCAAAAACTGTAGTGTACCCTGCTGGTGTTTCCCACACTGTAGTGTAAAAGCTGCTGGGGTTCCCCATGAGTGTACATTTCTGGTGTCCCCACACGTATGTACGCTTTCTGGGGTTCCAACATGTAGTGTACGCTGCTGGGGTTTGCAGTGTCTTTGGTTTGAAACAATTAAGTGGTCGCTCCAACCCAAAAACGCTTCTAAACGAAAAGCCCCAAAATTAAAAATTTATTTTTATTAAAGCTCTTGAATCTCTTTCTTCCTTTTATATTTTACCCAAAAAATTTTTTGGGGGTTTTTGGATTACACAGAATTTAAACCCCATTTTTATGTACCCCAGATCCCCTTTCCAAGAATTTGTTTTTAAAATTTTTACTTTTTAAAAATTTCCCAAATTATTGAGCCATACAAAATTTAAATTTTTAATTCTGTGAGCGTTTATCTTTCTTCTCTATGTAATTAAGCCCACAACATTTTGTTCTGTATTATGCATTATTTCATATATAATTTAGGTTTTTATAGGTAATAAGTCAGTTAATGATAGCAGAGGGGAATGTAAGGAATTGAAAAAAAAAAGTCCAGCGGGCTTTCCTCCTTCGTTAAAAAAAATGAAATATGTTATTAAAAAAAACTTAGGGAAAAAAAAACAAAATTTTGTAAAATAGTTTATTTGTTACCCTTATTTATGCTTTTAAAATTGGTAATTCATAGTAATTGTATTGTATTAGTGTGTGTGTGTGTGGTGTGTGGTGTGTGGTTGTGTGTGTGGTGTGGTATTTTGGTTTTATTGTGGGTCGCTTCTTTTGTCAAATTGGTTTTTTTTTAAAGGGGCCAGCAGGGTCCACATTGGCTTTTAAAGGTTGGGGGAAAAAGGGGGTTTCGGAAGAAAGTTTTGGGGTTCAAAAGGAAAAATGTTCCCCTCCACGGTACATTTGGCCCCCGGGGGCGATCCGGGGGGGGGTTCCCAACTCCCCTTTGGGGCCACATGGTTTGGAAGGTGGACAGTGAGGCCAGGATGGAACCACCGATCCAGACGGAGTACTTACGCTCGGGAGGAGCAATGATCTTGATTTTGATGGTAGCAGGAGCCAAATTAGTGATTTCCTTCTGCATGCGGTCAGCAATACCAGGGTACATCGTGGTACCACCAGACATGACAATGTTGGCGAACAAGTCCTTCCTGATGTCAATGTCGCACCTCATGATTGAGGTATGAACTGTCTCGTGGACACCAGCAGATTCCATACCCAGGAAGGAAGGCTGGAAGATAGCCTCGGGGCAACGGAAGCGCTCATTACCAATGGTGATGACCTGACCATCGGGAAGCTCGTAGGACTTGTCCAGGGAAGTAGAAGCAGCAGCAACATTCATCTCATTCTCGAAGTCAAGGGCGATGTAGCAAAGCTTCTCCTTGATATCACGAACAATCTCACGCTCAGCTGTAGTGGTGAAGGAGTAGCCACGCTCAGTTAGAATCTTCATCATATATGCAGTGAGATCCCGACCAGCAAGATCGAGACGAAGGATGGCATGAGGAAGAGCGAAACCTTCATAGACGGGAACCATGTGAGAGACACCATCACCAGAGTCACACACCAGACCAGTGGTACGACCAGAGGCGTACAACGACAACACAGCCTGAATGGTAACATACATGGCTGGCATAGCGAATGTTTCGAACATGATCTGTGTCATCTTTTCACGGTTGGCCTTGGGGTTGAGGGGAGCTTCAGTCAACATTGTGGGGGACTCCTCAGGGGCAATACGAAGTTCATTGTAGAAGGTATGATGCCAGATCTTCTCCATGTCGTCCCAGTTGGTGATGATGCCGTGCTCGATGGGGTACTTGAGAGTCAGGATACCTCTCTTGCTCTGGGCCTCATCACCTACATAGGCGTCCTTCTGACCCATACCGACCATCACACCCTGGTGACGAGCGCGGCCGACGATGGAGGGAAAAACCGAACGGGGAGCGTCGTCACCAGCGAAGCCGGCCTTGACCATGCCGGAGCCATTGTCGCAGACAAGAGCTACCTGTTCCTCCTCGTCACACATAGCTGATGGTTTGAGTCAATCCCCACCTGGAAAATTTTTGTTATGATAATAAACGCCGTTGTATTGATTGCAGTATTATAAGGAAACCATTAAACTGCAAATTCATCATCAATCTATTACATTTTTTTTCCAAAATTTTATTAAAACTTTACTCGTGTCTCATCCAAATTCCCAAGTAAGTTAAGCTATATGTTAATATTCTAAGCTTCTCAACTTTCAGCGTTATTATAGTCACAAGTTTCAATGCTTCTAACTTTCAAGTATCTTTAATAACTAGTATATGTAAGGCTGACAGTAAACTCTTTGTTTATATCTAACAGATTTAGGCTGAGAGTAAATTCTCAGTATATAAACGAGAACACTTATGAGTATATTTCAGTTACGTTTTAGATACCACTAGGCTACGATCTACTTAAATACCCTCATATCCAAATTTACTTTAGAATAGTTGAATACTAAATGTTTCTAGCCAATAACACCGACATCAGTTACGACGCAAAACACGAAGTCACTATTTACTTTGTTTCTTTAATACAACTTGAGAGTATGGTAAATGATAGACTAGTTGCAGTGGAGGTCTTCGTTGGTACAACGTTTCACCCATTAATGGGTTTTCTCAAGTATTTGATAAAATCTACTCGTAGGCGATAAGTTGTACCAATGAAGAACTCCACTGTATATGAATGGTTCAAAGAACCGACACGTTGTTAAATTTGACACATGTGCAACTCTTGGGTATCTTTATTGAGGAAACGTTTCGCCACACAGTGGCTTCATAATTCCATACAAAGGATAAACTTGAAGAACAGGAGGAGAATGAGGTAATCAGTCCCTCAGCCTTGAGTCGATGTGGTCAGTCCATCAAGGCTGAGGGACTGATTACCTCATTCTCCTCCTGTTCTTCAAGTTTATCCTTTGTATGGACTGATGAAGCCACTAGTATGGCGAAACGTTTCCTCAATAAAGATACCCAAGAGTTGCACATGTGTCCAATTTAACAAGAACTCCACTGTTGCTGACATGTCTCTCTTTCCTTGTCATGCCGCCTCCAGTTTCTAACTCAGGTAGTTACCACCTCTGAGGAGAAAATGGCTCAGAAGAAAAACACGGCATTTCACAAGTTTTCAGAGGGGCAAGTGATGCTTTCACACAATGGTTGTTAACCCGTTGGCGTGGAAGATTAAGGCATCCACTGCGTTGAATTTCTAACACAGACTTGGCGTGGAACATGACTTACCGAGCACTGACCGACACAGGAGTCGAGTGCAGACTGAGAGACCTGCACAAATGACTTTCTTTTATAGGGAGTCACTGCAGGGTTTAACGTGCAAATATTCACGCATGATAATTAGAGTCTGTTCAATGGTTAAATGCCTTCTGGCTTACTCAGGTAAAAGTTGGTACGGCCCACTGAAGGTCGTGGTGGACAGGTAAGATGGATAAGAACCAGTTTACTGCTGTGTCGCGTGAGCAATAATTTGTAATCCCTGGCAAGAAAGTGTGTTCCTTCTTGCTTTTATCTTCGAAATAACAAAATAGCGGTTTGTGTGAGAGGATTTTTTGGAGAGAGGCCGGGAAGGGAGAGGGGAGAGCTCTGCTGCACTAATCATCTGAGGAACTGAGGGTAACACGGCCTATTGTGCTTACCGTCTTAGGCTATTTGTTTTTATTTTTTAAATAAGGGTTTTTAGGTTTCTGTTATACTGGTTTTTGTGCTCTGTTCCTAGACCTAAGTGCCGAATAGGTAAAACTTGCGATTTTGGCTTTAATAGCGACGCTTTTCTTGTCGAATAAAGCAACCGAAAATTTGTGTATGCAATAATTTTGCAAAAATCATTCTGAACCTAACGAAAAAAATATATTTCATTGTGTTTTTTATTATTAAATTACTGTAAATTTGTCTAAAATATATTTAGTTGGATTGGGCTAAATTAAATGTGGCAGATGTTGCAAATGTATGGAACAGGAGGTAGGTTACTGAAAGCAGTGAGGAGTTTTTACGAGGATAGTGAGGCTCAAGTTATAGTATGTAGGAAAGAGGGAGATTATTTACCAGTAAAAGTAGGCCTTAGACAGGGATGTGTGATGTCACCGTGGTTATTTAATATATTTATAGATGGGGTTGTAAGAGAAGTGAATGATCGGGTGTTGGCAAGACGTGTGGGGTTAAAACATAAAGAATTTAACACAAAGTGGGAGTTGTCACAGTTGCTCTTTGCTGATGACACTGTGCTTCTGAGAGATTCTGAAGAGAAGTTGCAGAGGTTGGTGGATGAGTTTGGTAGGGTATGCAAAAGAAATTAAAAGTGGATATAAGAAAGAGTAAGGTGATGAGGATAACAAAAAAAATTAGGTAACGAAAGACTGGATATCAGGTTGAAGGGAGAGAGTATGGATGAGGTGAATGTATTCAGATATTTGGGAGTGGACGTGTCAGCGGATGGGTCTATGAAAGATGAGGTGAATCATAGAATTGATGAGAGGAAAAAGGTGAGTTGTGCACTGAGGAGTCTGTGGAGACAGAACTTTGTCAGTTGAGGCAAAGAGGGGAATGTATGAGAGTATAACTATACATATACATGTACAAGCATATATATACACACCTTTCTGGGGTTTCCTTCTATTTTCTTACTGGTTCTTGGTCTTGTTTATTTCTTCTTATCTCCATGGAGAAGTGGAACAGAATTCTTCCACCGTAAACCATGCGTGTCGTAAGAGGCAACTAAAATGCCGGGAGCAAGGGGCTAGTAACTCCTTCTGTATAAATTATTAAATTTAAAAAGAGAAACTTTCGTTTTTCTTTTTGGGCCACCCTGCCTCGGTGGGATACGGCCAGTTTGTTGAAAGAAAGAATATACGAGAGCTGTTAATCTTGTGAAGGGTATGTGTGGGGTATAGGGCCAATCCTTGTAAGCACACTGTGCCTCTGAAACTCTTCTAAACTGAGACACAGATCACAGCATCATTCGTGTATCCTCAGCTGGGTGAGTGCATCAGTTACTGTCCGCCGACGTGCAGAAAAAAAACGAGGAGATTTACGAGACCATCTCCCTCTGTTTTTTTTTTTACCAACATTTAAGACTTCTGCAGAATTAATGATCAGAGTTCCTACTATGTTTTTTTTTTTTGTGTGTGTTAGGGGCTGTTAGCTTGGCTCGGGACATATCAAAGTCTGGCTCTAATCTTTATCGTGACGGTATTGTGTTGGTGTAAAGTTTTTCAAGACTGAGTAATATTCATATTATGATTCTGTTATTGATTTAGTTGACTTAAATTCTCAAGTATGCAAATTAACCACAGTGAAAAATCCGTAAATTCTAAGCAAACCATACCAAGGGTGGGGTTTGAACCCGCTGTCAGAGTCGTAGTGAAATTCTAAGAGCTTTCGCGATTTCTCACATTAACAAGGATAATGATAATGTGTGAAATCACCAAAGCTACTGGAATTTCACTATATTTTCAGTGTAGTTATTCTGCATATTGTGATATCATCTGTTTCCTGTGATCTCATTGCATACTCGAGTATGTTCTCAGGTGTAAGCAGGCCAGAATTCACAATTATGCATGTTATTACAACCCAGGAATCCCAAAGGCCTCTCATCCTGGGTGTAAAGGGAGCAAAATAAACACAGCAGAAAAACTTTTGACTTACATTGTCCTTCACCAATTTAGAACAGAAGTATGTACACTATATACACTATGTACAACGATAGGTATTAGTGCACTCCACTAGAGAGCAGACCGTGCTTCAACCAGCTCTAGAATGGGAATGACAAGGGCAGACAGGAGAGTGGTACCCACATAACCTCTGCGATTGCCAAAACCATCTTTTCATTAGCTGGAACCTGGGTACTGGTTGAATGACGGGGGCCCCATCATCAACCCTTAGTACCTGGTTAGTTGGTTGGGGAAGATAGCCTTTCAATGAGGGTGTGTACATGCGCTGAATAAAGGTTACGTACTCTTTGCATGCCACACACGTAAAATTGAAAAAAATACATTAGTTGAAAAGTAGAAATACCCAAGCTCCTTCTGTCATATTTTAGAGTGAGAAATAGTTTACTACTCTTGATTCTTTATTCTCACTCTTCTGAAGATATGTATGCAAACCCATGAAAGCGCTCAGTTATTTCTGTATTTCTCTCTGTGGTATTTTTATGAGTATTTATAATATATATGCAGTATGTATAGGTAAGTTAAAGTTCGTCAGGAAACAGGACAAGCGTTTCCTGACGCGGGTCTTAGATGACCCGCCGTTGGAGCTTTTGATCATCTGACCGAGGCCTTCCACTGGCTTACCGGTCCACCCTATTAAAAATTATGGTCATAATTATAATCATTTAAGATTAATATCCTAATAGTATGTATAGGTGGTGCCAAAATATGTGGTACTTCTCTTATCAATGAAACAACGAAGGGTGAAAAAGGCAAGAAATACCAGAGTCAAATTCATCAGAATGCTTTCTCGTTGTTGAGAATTTTCAAGTATACGAGTCGAGCATTTTTTGACAGGGACAGAAAAAAAATAGGATTGGAGTTTGTCTCCCCAGTTCTAGAATATAATATATTGTGGCTATGATGAGTGGTATCACGTCTGGCAGTGGAACTGACCCCATCAAAAACGTCAATAAAAATTAATTGATATTTTCTGCACTTATCTTAAACGGTCGATATATTGAAAAATATGTTAGGAAATACAAAGGCATTAAGTATAAGTAATAATTTATTTTTATTCCGTTTATAGTACGTGTGCTTAGGTAGCAAAAAACACATGCATACTTAATAAATTGATAAAACAATGGTGAAAATCATGTCTTATAAAGAATATATAAAAATATTTAGGGATTTTTAAACGAAAGAAATATAGTTCATGATATTATTTTGTTTTAGAAGCTTAATATTCAAACATAATCATAATTTGTATCACAGTTATAATAGAACAAGTGCACAGTTTAGAAGCACTTGCGGTGGACGATGCCGGGGCCGGACTCGTCGTATTCGTATTTAGTGATCCACATAGTCTGGAAGGTGGACAGTGAGGCCAGGATGGAACCACCGATCCAGACGGAGTACTTACGCTCGGGAGGAGCAATGATCTTGATCTTGATGGTTGGGGGAGCCAGAGCAGTGATTTCCTTCTGCATGCGGTCAGCAATACCAGGGTACATGGTAGTACCACCAGACATGACGTTGTTGGCGAACAGATCCTTCCTGATGTCAATGTCGCACCTCATGATGGAGTTGTAAACCGTCTCGTGGATACCCAAAGATTCCATACCCAGGAAGGAAGGCTGGAATAGAGACTCAGGGCAGCGGAAACGTTCGTTGCCAATAGTAATAACTTGACCATCAGGAAGCTCATAGGACTTTTCAAGGGAACTGGAAGCAGCAGCAACATTCATTTCATTCTCGAAGTCAAGGGCGATGTAGCAAAGCTTCTCCTTGATGTCACGGACAATCTCACGCTCAGCTGTGGTGGTGAAGGAGTAACCACGCTCAGTCATGATCTTCATGAGATACTGAGTCAGGTCACGACCAGCAAGGTCAAGACGAAGGATAGCATGAGGAAGAGCGTAACCCTCGTACACAGGAACCATATGGGTCACACCATCACCAGAGTCACACACAAGACCAGTGGTACGACCAGAAGCGTATAGCGACATCACGGCCTGAATAGCCACATACATAGCCGGCATAGCAAAAGTTTCAAACATGATCTGTGTCATCTTCTCGCGGTTGGCTTTAGGGTTGAGAGGAGCCTCAGTCAACAATGTTGGAGACTCTTCAGGGGCAATACGGAGCTCATTATAGAATGTATGATGCCAGATCTTCTCCATGTCGTCCCAGTTGGTGATGATGCCGTGCTCGATGGGGTACTTGAGAGTCAGGACACCTCTCTTGCTCTGGGCCTCATCACCGACATAGGCGTCCTTCTGACCCATACCGACCATCACACCCTGGTGACGAGCGCGGCCGACGATGGAAGGAAAGACAGAGCGGGGAGCGTCGTCACCAGCGAAGCCGGCCTTGCAGAGACCAGAGCCATTGTCCACCACAAGTGCTACTTCTTCTTCGTCACACATGGTTGTCGGTTGTCAAACTCTTCTGAAAATAAAGTGAAAAGTTCTAAAATGACATATTCATGAGTATTAATAAGCCATTACATAGCCATAAAGTATATATACGTATGTATGAGTGGTATTCATGTTTTGGAGGAAATAGGGAAAAGTGAGCATACTCTACTGGTTTCTTTACTGAAAATTAATAATATAAAGCGCGTCCAGTTAAATATTTTAGTATTTTTCTAAACTGAATTTCAGTCAGGGTCGGTGCCACCTCTTAGCTGAGCTAAGACGGCAAAACTAAATACAAAATAGGCATTTTTTTAAATTGACAATTTCATTGCTCCTCTTTGAGCCTCACTTCACCATAATGGAGATCGCGGAAAGATAGACTTTAAAAATCCCGTGAAAACTCAATAAGAAATGTATATTCACTGTGACAAATATTTTTTTCCGTTTTCGCTTAAAATAGATCTTTAATTATAAATGCATAAATATATTTTTTTATTGTTACTAACACTCAATATTAACTTTCGTTGGTATATTGAGTCTGGGGAAGAGTGAAGCCATGGAAGCTCGATCCTACTTGAGAGACTTGATCCTCTTGTTCACGAAATTGTAATAACACGATTGGAGACAAATGAAGGAGCTAGTGGAGCCTGAACCCATGACCTGTGAGTTTTAGAACTCACTTGCCATGGGTTCAAGCCTCTCCCGTTCCGTGATTTTGTCCTCTGATCACTAAGTTGGGTGTAAACAGTGTCTCGACCTGAACATGGCAGCGGGTGTTGGGTTAAGCCGGATCAGAAAGTTTCTTAAGAGTGTCAAACACCCTTGCACAGTTACAGGTTGTCGCGTCTTCTGTTTGCTGAAGGTGTCTCAGCTGGCTCGGTTATTATGATATATAAATGTACCTCGCCATCGGCAGCTAGAAATAACAAGAAGGCACAATACCGTGACTGGAACAATACACAAATAAACCGTAAAGTAAAAGGACACAAGTGCAACTAATGTGACATTTATTGTGGCAACGTTTCGCTCTCCAGGAGCTTTATCAAGCCATTACCGTAATGGCTTGATAAAGCTCCTGGAGAGCGAAACGTTGCCACAATAAATGTCACATTAGTTGCACTTGTGTCCTTTTACTTTACAAATTGTCGGTAATTCTACCAACTTTATTACAAATAAACCGCACATATGAGAGAGGAGCTTACGGTCAGACTTGGATTATTTACAAAGTCACGCAAATTTAGCAAAGTCACACTAGTAACTTTGTAAATTGTCTAAGTCGGACCTAAACGTCGTCGTAAGCTACTCTCTCGTATGTGCGAATTATTTGTGTATCAGCACTAGTCTAACTTACTGCGAACTTCTGCAAACTTCTAGTAACGACTGAGACGACCCAGCCAATGTGTTCTCTTTATATAAGGAACTAACACAGAGCTAAAATCTCGTAGTGTTATTTTTTGCCAGCGTTGAATCCCAAATATATTTAAGTTTTATATAAACAACAGTCACTGGCCTGCACTTCAACCAACAGAATCCTTGAATACACATCGACCTCGTGAATCACACCAGATGGTGATAGTAAGAAATATAACTCTAACTTTCAACACTAAATAATCAAGATAACAGTTTAGAAAACCAGGAAAAAATACAAATCTACCCTCTGCCTCCCTCTTTCCACGAATCACCTGTTAAATTCCGCTTGAGAATGTCATCCAAAACAAGTAAGGTTATTTGTAATGGTACATGAGTCATGTTTTTGCTCTCCTTACAGGGACTACTCAGTAGCCTGGATGACAGCCAAGTGCGGTAGTGGGCGGATTCCATTTTTTTGCCTTAGACTTTACGTAACCATGCCCAGCCCCCATCTCAAGCACAAACAAGTGGTCACCACCAATACATCTTTATGATATAACACGCAGTAACTGTGTCTCCTTTGAGTAACATTGCAGCTTTATACATCATTAGTAAGGCCTCACCTAGATTATGCAGCTTTATACATCATTAGTAAGGCCTCACCTAGATTATGCAGCTTTATACATCATTAGTAAGGCCTCACCTAGATTATGCAGCTTTATACATCATTAGTAAGGCCTCACCTAGATTATGCAGCTTTATACATCATTAGTAAGGCCTCACCTAGATTATGCAGCTTTATACATCATTAGTAAGGCCTCACCTAGATTATGCAGCTAAATCTGGGCTCCTATTATCAGTTAAATGATATAAATTCGATTAGAAGCATTCATCTAGTAGGATCACTAATTATGACTATATGCATTTAGTAAGCTCACCTGTGAAGTAAGATTTAGACATCTTTAAGTATAATTTCAGCTTTTAATCATTAGTAAGGGCTCCTGATTAGCAGCTTTATAACATATTAGTAAGGTATAACTAATTATGCATGCTTATAACATCATTAGTAAGGCCTCACCTAGATTATGCAGCTTTATACATCATTAGTAAGGCCTCACCTAGATTATGCAGCTTTATACATCATTAGTAAGGCCTCACCTAGATTATGCAGCTCAATTCTGGTCTCCATATTACAGAATGGATATAAATTCGTTAGAAAACATTCAGCGTAGGATGACTAAATTAATACATAGCATTAGAAATCTTCCTTGTGAAGAAAGATTGAAGACTCTTAAGTTACATTCACTTGTTAGGCGGAGAATGAGGGGAGACCTGATCGAAGTGTATAAGTGGAAGATAGGTATTAATAAAGGGGATATTGGAAATAAATGGTATAAAATACCGACACAATGGAAATATAAACACATATGCAGTATAATGTGATCCTTTATTGACTACGTTTCGCCCACACAGTGGGCTTTTTCAAGTCACAAACAGAACTACCTGGGGTGGAAGGAACGCGAGTATTTATAGTCAGGTTCAGAATGCTGAGGTCAGGTGGAGAATGCTGCATCTGATGATGTACCGAGTGGGGTTATAGAGTCTAAAATCTTGGGTAGCTTGGAAAGGAGATTGGATAAGTTTGTGAGCAGACCTTCTTACAGTGTTCTTATGTGGGATAGCGATGAAGAAGTTTACTTGGCAAGTGGTTCGTAGTAAGCGAGTAAATGCACTATTCTGGTTAGAAGTGGGATATAGAAATAAGATGATGTACCGATTGGATTCTTGGTAAATCTGGTTGCTTGTAAGGAGATTGATAGTTTGGAGTTCTAGTACTTACAGTGTTGTTATAGTGGGAAATAACAAAAGAGTTAAGTGTTCCTTATGTATAGAAGACTTTCTGGCTACAATTTGTCGCTTATAATCATGAATTCAGGATTTCGGTTGTACGCGTCTTCCTTGTGCGATAAGCTTGAGTTTCAGTAGTGACGGTGGTAATGGTTGTAGTAGTGATGTAGAATGGACCTAAGGGTGACTAGAGAGGTGCTGGCTCAAGTAACACCATTCCAGATGGTAATCACTTGAGTAACTTGGAAAAGTAGTTAAAGCAGAGATATTCCATCTGGTAATGTGTTACTTAGAGGAGGTCAGCGAGATGGCCTACTCCATTCAGTACACCATTACCAGTAATATACCCCTTCTAGTAATTTTGAACTACTGTCACTATAAGCATAGAGATATTATCAATCCTGGGAATGTTTATTATTGATGCCATATGTAGTCTTTAGCCTTCACTTTATATTTCATTTATATACTATACTATTACCACTTATCATCTACTACCTGATCTGCATAATGGCTAATTACAATAGATCATATAAATATAAAATTATACATATTACTAATATTACTATGCAGATATTAGTTAATACATTATTTATAATACTATATATAATATATATATATTATATTATATATATATATATATATATATATATATATATATATATATATTATATATGATTGTGTGGTGTGTGTGTGTGTGGTGTGGTGTGTGTGTGTGTGTGTGTGTTGTGTGTGTGTGCTTGTGGGTTTTCTTGTTTAGGACTGTAATAAGCCTGGCGAACACTCGTTTCCTTTAATAAATGTCCTGAACTGTACATAAGTGTCTTTTTCCTTCCTCTTGTCTTCACGCTTTACCGAGCAAGTGTTGATGTGGTTAATTTTGAGGACAAGAGTCTATTGGCTACGCGAGTGTCATCAAAGCTGTGTTTCACCTAATACAGATTAAATTAAGCTCTCAATGCATTCCGATCGAGAGGTACACACCTCTCCGTGTATTTACAGTGTGAGATACACACTTCTCGTGTATACACACTGAGAGATACACCCATCTCAGTGTATAAACACAGATATACACACTTCATTGTGTAAATACACAGAGATAAACTGCCAACAGAATGCAAATTAATGAATTAGCTAGAGCTTAGCTAGGAAACTCAAAGTCTAGGTCGAAATGTGTGTTGAATGATTTTTTCCTATACATACAAGAAAGGCTAGCATAGGCCCCATCGTGACTACAAATACACTTTAATTAGGCTAGCATGGTACAGTGGAGAGTGCATTATCTTGCTAGTTTTAGGATTGGTTTGCAGTTGTTGATGACAGGCGCTCGTGGGAGTGTATCCTGGAGGCAGTGACGAAGGAAAACATTGAAATATTCAACTTCATCAGGCTGGCCTGTTCCAGGATTTTGTCTAGTAAGGCTTATTAAGATTTTTGTCGATTAAGACACATGGAACTGAACTTTTCTCCAGGCTGAGGGACTGACTATCTCAAATACTTTGTATTTGATTGAAGGTACCCAACTGTTGCATATGTCTTAATCTTCAACTTATCGGTACTGTGTACCATTTTCAACAATAAGAGCTAAACCCGTATGGGTTGCACCTTGGGGAATGCTTTTAGGTCCGATCCTTGACTAAGAAGAATAGAGTCAGTTCACGGAATCAAGAGCCTTCTCCACCTCCCCCCCCCTTGGTGGCATCAAGGTACCTCCCTCGATGAGAGATGTTCTGCTGCCAGGTAGGATGGAGGTGAACGCGACCCCAGAGCAATTGCTTAGCTGTTCTTAGTTTACGTTGTTACGACATTCCCTCTTCCAACACCTTGGTATGTTTCACGCAACACCTGGGTATCTTTCAACACCTGGGTGTCTTTATTACGACGATGTTGCTCACGGGTGTTGCACACGAGTGTTGCACACGAGTGTTGCACACGGGTTCAGTGCATCAAGTTGAAGGGAATAAGAACATTATTATAACAATCATATCTAAATGCTAGATTCACTAGGGCAGGGGTCCCCAACCTGTGTCCCGAGGACCGCATGTGGCCCTTCTATGAAATGGATGCGGCCCTCATCACACATTTGACCATCAAATGTGGCCCACTTGTGTAGGATGGTTGAGAACCACTGCTCTAGGGTCGTATGGCGCTGCAGGGTAGGATGGAGGGGTAATATGCCTGATCAGAGACCAGCGAGGGTGAAGAGTATGTCAGAGGCAGAGTTACACAAGATTTTGTTCGGATTTTTAACCCCTGAGGTTAGCCACCCAGGATTGCATAAAATCAGTGCGTCATCGAGGATTGTCTGTCTTATATCCACTGGGTTCACTCAATCTTGTCCCTCAGTATGCCACCCACACCAGTCTACTAATACCCCGGCACCTACTTGCTTGCTAGGTGAACAGGATGTTAGGTAAGACACATATGCAACCGTTAGACAACTTTATTCCGAAACGTTTCGCCTACACAGTAGACTTCTTCAGTCGAATACAGAAAGTAGGCAGGAACAGTAGAGATGTGAAGACGATGTAATCAGTCCATCACCCTTGAAGACGTAGAATTTGAGGCTGTCAGTCCCTCAGCCTGGAGAAGTTCAGTTCCATAGTCAGGAACTATAGTCAGATAGTTCCTAACTGTTGCACTATGTGTCTTACCTAACAACCTGTCGGTATTGTATACCATTTTGATATTCATCTAGGTGAACAGGAACAACAAATGTAAGGAAAAACGCCCAATATTTTCACCAAGCCAGGAATTGAACCTTGGACATTCAGTGTGTGAGGCGTGACCGCTGCCAACTAGGCCACGGGGTGCTAAAGAAAGGTATAATCAAAGTCAGTGTAATAAAACTGTTGCTGACAAAAAATCAAAGAGGGACTCTGTGTCAAAGATGAAACTATCAGCAAGATCAGATAAAGGGTTTTAAGGAATAAGAGCAACAACATTAGCAGTAAAATTTATTGTGTTAGGTTCTTTACCTGGCTCATCGACTTACAACGAAGAGATCAACAGTAGCTGTTTAATGCATGTGCTCCACCGCCAGCCTGGCCATCAATAACTTCATGCAATAAAGAGGCACATACAGCAAATGGAGATCTTCATTAATACGACATTACGCCTACATAAGACTTCATAGAAAACAAAGTCTCGTGTTGGTGATGCCTTGTACTAATAAAGGTCTTCATTTTTGCTGTGTATTTCTGTAACCACTTGTCTGCTACGTCATACTTCAACTGCTTATCCTGACGTAAAATATACTGTAAGAGAAGATAAATACAT